ATCTGCTGAGGCCCACTGGGGTTCTGATCAGCTGAAATCAGCCGGACTGGTGTTCTGTCAGACCAGCATACCCAATCAGACCAGCATACCAGTTTATCCCTTTAGTTTATTACTTTAGTTTTCTATGAAATAAAGATTTTAAACTACCTTAACAGACGTGTATCCTTTTATTCATGTACAAAAAAAAATCTTTACTTACTTTTTGGTGTTTTTTGAAGCGTATGGCGATCTGACCGTGATGATTATTATTGATGATTAAAGGGATACGCGCCCTGAGGCGGTTTAAAGTCTAATTTTCGCACAAAACTAAAGGGATAAAGGTTAATCTGACGTCTTCTAGCTGGTTTTCATTTTAAATCTTATCAGACATCAAAGGAATTTCTGCTCTAGTTCCTGATGATGTGATTTTAGTGGAAAGCGAAGCTTTGCTGTTCACAGCCTCACCTGCAGGTGGCGTGTGTGAGCGTGATCTGGTGGTACAGCTGCAGGAAGGTTAAGGCGGTCACGGCTTTGGACTTGAAGCTCAGCTTCTCGCCGATGATCTTCTCCATGCGGCAGAGGTCGGAGACGGTGAAGCGGCACTGGCCAATGCGGATGAGCTCGTCCACCGGCGTCAGGTCGCACTCCTCCTCCGTCACTCTGGCCGCCATGTGGAGGCAGCTGAGGCTGATGCAGGACAGGTGTTTGGGCTGGACCTGCAGGGGGGGAGGAGAGACGGAGGTGAGGAACGGGGCCGCCGTGTGAGGCGGCTCGGGCTGAAGACGACCGCGCGGCGGCGTACCCTCATCATGGCCAGGAATCTGTCCAGCAGGCTGACGGCGAGGACGAAGGTCCGGGCGCTGTAACCGAAGAAGCTGGTCAGGCTCCACAGGTCCTCCACCTTGGTGTCTCTGCAGCGCGCCGAGATCTGACTGGAGCTCTGGGAACCAGAGGAGCACTGGTTGGCCTCACAGCAGTCCCTCTGAGAACGTTTCACTTTCCTGATGCGTCCCTTACCTGCTGGGCGGAGACGATGAGGTTCAGGCCTGTCTCCTTTGGCAGAAAGTCGGCCTCCTGCTCGCAGTTCACCTTCAGCTCCTTCATCAGCCTCACGGCGTCCATCTTTAGGTCTATTTCTCCCCACGGTTCAGACACTGCAGGGAAGAAAGGAGACGTCAGTGTTCCGCCGCCGCCGTGCTTCACCATGGTGAAGGACTGCTGGAGGACATAGGGACCCCTTTTTCATCATTCTGCTTCATTCTATCTCTATTCTCCCACTCTGCAGAATCTGTTAGTTCAATCTCTAACGTTCTGCTCTCTCTGCTTTTTCTCATAGTAGCTTCATCTGGTCTGTTCCTGTTTGGCTGTGACTCCATCCTGGAGAGAAATATCAGCTGTGCTGCTGCCATCAACACCTTTGTTTCTAGATGTTGGAGCTTGGCCTGTTTTCCAGTGTAGTCCTGTTTCTCTGACTGTGACTAACTGGATGTGCTCTCTTCATCCTCTGACATGGGAGCTGGCTCAGATCTGGTGAACTGGAAAGTGCCTTCAGATGACAGGATGTGAATTGGCGCTATAGAAGTAAACTGATTAGAATTGAATAAATGCCATCCACACTTTCCAGAATGTGAACTTTGAAGGAGTGTAAGCCAGCAGCTGGTGATTTAGCAGCCGCTTGGTTCAGGTACGGCCTGGTTGTGATGTAACTCTGTCAATGATCCTTCAGGGGCCCCTGAACCCAGCTGGGCTCCTGTATCAGGTTTCTCCTTCTGACCCAAAACCTGCTTCATTAAAACAACCTTTCTGCTCCTATTTAACCAACCTGAGCCCGTTTCAGCCCAACCCCCCCGGTTGGAGGAGTAAATGGACCCGGAACCATCGGGCTGAGCTGAACCGTTTGTTGCTGTTTTTAAATCCTCCAGTCTGAGCGGGGGGAGGGGCGCCCGTCCGCTTTCAGCAGAAACGACAACATTCCCTCACTTTAAGCTCCTACAGTCACACATCCCGGCCTGTTAATAACACATTTAGCGAGAATCTAAAGGAAAATGTGGGAAATAGACTTTTATTTTTTTGAAACTTGAGAATTTATTCCAAGAACGAAGCTGAAGTTGGCTTCCGGTTCGTTCGCAGTAAAGGGCCAATCCGCTGTTTTTTTTCTCTTCCTAGAATTCAGAAACATCTAATGATCAAGTTAAGTTTTAGATAAATTACGTTTCACATAAATAATGTTTCAGATAAATTTATATAAATGATCAAACATGAACTTTAATGGGTGGAAATGTTTGGCTTGTTTTGTAAAGTCTGACCTCAGTGTAGAAAGAAGAAACTAGAATCTGTATTTTTCTCTTTCTGGCTTCGTTTTCATCACCATCTGAAAATCTAAGATATTAACAGTTGGATTTGTTTTGTTTTTTAAAGGCTTTCCAGTTTTGAGATGACAGAAAATAAAAAGTAAAACTAAAGTTTCCTCTTTTTGTCCTTTTACCCAATAATCCAGATGTTGTTGGGTAAAAAACAGTGCTGGAAATCCTTCCTGTTCTTCGGAGAACCTTCGGATCTCTGTCAGGTTTATTTAAAATAAATCTAAGGTTATTTTCAGGTTAGAAAAAGCGGCTGATCAAACAGCTTCCAGGTTCAAAGAAAAAAAAACCGTTTGATCTCTCACTCTGGGGCTGAATCGGAAGCTAACTTCGTCGTCGTTTCGGGGTTTATTTTCTGATCAAACTAAATAATTTCACCCTATAAACAGATTAACTGACGCCCTGACATGTTATCGCTGAAACCTAACCTTAATTAAGGGACAATCATCCAGTTTTTGTTTCCCTTCTTTACTAAAACCGCATCGAAGCTGAAACCTGGTCGCTTTCAGGATGAGTTTAAATCAGTTAAATGTTTTCTTACCTGTTTCTGCTGCTTAAAGCCACATTTCTGTCCTCCTTCTGCCGGTTGTTGACGTTAATTCCTTCTTTCTTTCTCTACCCTTTTTTCTGCTCCTCCTTTCTCTTTTTTCTTCCCTTTGTTGACGTTCAGAGAAGCTCCGCCCACACGTCCTGCTGAAGCAGCGTCAGCCAATCACAGCCTCGCTTTGGAGCTAGCAGCCGCCCCTTCCGAGGGTTAGCCGCATGAACTAAGACTTTAAATAAACGTTTTATCTCATTGTTCGCTCTTCCTCCGTTTCTTCTGTCGGTCTTCGACTTTAAAAGTGACCAAAAATGAATAACTAACGACGGACGGGATTTCTGAACCGCGCTACATGAGACGCACCCCCCTGTGACTGACGTTTCCTTTAGCCAATCAGCATCAACTGGCTTATTTCGTTCAAATAGTCCGCCCAAAATCCTTCGATTTGATTGGTGTAGGGAAATAAAACTCCCTGACGCAATCTACATATGACGTAGTTCGCTTTTGCCAGTCCTTTAACAACTGTTTCAGCAAGACTTTTGAAATCTTGGTCATTAGATTAAATGTTAAAATACTGGAAACCACTTCAAACAGTTTGTTGTTGAAAATGAAGAAACATCTTCCAGCTAAAAGGCATTTAATTCGGAAATCCTAAAAATAAATTAAAATATAACCCAGAATTTCCGTAATTTATTTCATAAAGGTGAAACTCCAGTATTACTTTAATTTTTTTACGTGTTTATTTTATCAAGTTCTGTTCGTTTTTCAACAAATAAACAGCCCAAATTCTGCTACTGAACACAAAAATTAAATACTAATTTAGAACCATCAAAGAAACACACGCATAGATCCAAATAAATAAATGATATATTTTTTTTTTTATTCACTTTGAATTACAATGAAATAGAAATTCTTGAAATGTTCTGTTTGTTTTAGGGGAAAAAAGGATAAATCTCTTCCCTGTGCATCATGTTCCAGGTTTCACAGATCTAATCCTGGAGGAAACATGGGGGGTAGTTTTTTTTTTTTTTTTTTTACTACATAAACTCAAACCAGAATAAAATTACTGCTGGTTTTTCAAACATAAAAGTATCGTTCTGAGGTTGATTAGTTTCTTCTGTTAGGGAATGATATCCTAAAGCTTCATATTCCCAATTAGAAGCGTAAAAACTGATATTTATAAGCGTTAAATCTTTGAAAATATTAAGGGTGAAAATAAAATGGAAGCATAAATGCTTTTTGACATCACTGTTAATCCATTTAGCAGTTTTTGCAAAGGTTTTAGTCAGTTTGACCCTTTAATCATCCCATGGTTGTTTTGAATTATTTCTGATTTGGTCAGAAGTTGTAACTGGTCAATTATTAAGAGAAACTACAAAATAAATGATGGATTGATTCCAAATAAGATTTTATGTATTAAAAAAAATTTGCAGGAGAAGCGATGGTCATGGAGAGAGGAGGGCTCCATGGCCCTGATGATAACAGAGTTAATAAGAGTTTGTGAGGCAGACACCCTGTCTACTTTTAAGTTTTAAAAGATTCCTTTTTCATAACGCTTGTAGCTCAGGATCTGGTGAACTGTAAAATGCTGAGAACTGATGAGAACTGGCGCTATAGAAATACACTGAATTCAGTTAATAACTGGAATCGGCTGATTTTACTTTGATAGAAAACATTTAACAGATCATGGGTGCTGTGAATTTGGGCTATAGAAATAAACCTGAATTAAAATGGAATCAAACCTGTTTTTCTGTAACCCTGTTTTTTACTTTGCACACTGAAAGTTAAGTAACAGCTTTTACTCAGTGCGCTGAAGGCACAGACTGTCACACAATGATCACTTTATAGTCAGCTACTCAGCTGGATAATAAAATATATCTATAATAAAGATTATACATGTAATGTCTGCTATGAGCGGGTGAAAGCCAAAGTTTAAATCCTTTTACAATCATAAAGTCATTGAAGCCTGTTCTAAATTCTGTGACCAAATCTGGGTCTAATAAACCAACTGGAGGAATTTTAGGTGTTGTTGTTGTTAAATTTAACGCCTTATTTACAGTAGAAACATGAAGAAAAGGGAAATGTAAACGGAGGGTGCGATTGTTTCCTCCGCTGGCTCTGCCAGCAGGTGGGCGGGGTCTGCTCCTCTCCTTCCTCCCCGTCCCTTCCTCGGAAGTAGACGTATCCCGTCTATATTCCGTATTTTTTTTTTTATATTTTTATATCGACCCCTTTACCCTTAAAACTCAAGATGGACGACTAAACCGGAGCACGGGTCCTCGATTCCACCCGTCTTTCTCTCTGCCTGGATCGAGTGGACCGGATGAAACCCAACCGAGTTTTTCTCCGCTTCGCAGGGGAGGTAAGCCTCCGGGCTCCGTCTACTTACTGGACATGAGTCAGACATTTAAATGCCCCGGTGGGGTTGTTAGTGTTTATCACAACAATATAACCGTCTGGCTCTTCTCTATAACCCCACTAGATTCCTCTGAGGCTGCTGTTTATTATAGACCTAAACCATAAAAATAGTTTTTAGCGGAATGTCGGCTAGTCAGCTGCTAGCTGCGCAGTGGGTTGCTATAAAGGTAGCTGCATTCCAGCAGTTAGTCAGGTTCAGGTTGAAATGCGCACTGAGTTCCAGATGTTTCTGCTGAAAGTTTCAGGTGTTTTCCAGCGCAGGTGGTTTCTTACTGAGTCACTGGTCTCCGTCTATTATCTGGATTACTGATTACCCGTTGGTAGTACCAGTGGCGGTTCTAGACCAAATGTTCCAGGGGGCCCGGAGGGGGCCCAGAAAAGCATGAAATAAAAAACAGGGCAAGAGATTCAAATATATTAAGAGAGCTGCCTGGAGTCAAATTTCTATTCAATTAGTTTTAATTAAAATTCTATGTCTTCTACGTTCATAATTTAGGAATTTTACATATTTTTGACTTAATTTAATAAAAATGACCGTTTTCCAATATAATCTGATTTAGGACTGAAGTTCTTACTATAACATTAACAGACATGTACTGGTAATTCAGTCTTTATGTAAAATCTTAAAATTCTATGTAATATATGTATTATATTACATGTAAATCATCAATGTAGCACTTTAAATGACCAACTGTTCACTGTTTTTGGTGAATTCCCGGTAGCTTTTCACACCAAACATTCAGACATGGATCCAGGTTCTAACAGGCCACTAAAGAGGCAGAAAAACAAAGGAGGTATCACGTCAGGTTCACACACAACAAAGTTATATTAAATGTGAATAAATGGCAGCCTGCTGAGCTCCGATGTTCATTTAAAGCCAAACAGTGTGACCTTTGACCCCAGCATTAGTTTAATCCAATGATCCTTCAGCTCCATCTTCATCTCCTGCTGCGTATCGATGCTCCTCTGCTGCTCTCCTCAGAAACTCCCCTCTGTGACCTCAGAGGGTCGCTCCGTCTCTGAATGGGTCATGTGACCCAGAGCGCCGCTTCCCGTCAGTCTGAGCTCCCCTTAAACACCAGAGCTACCTAAGCTAACAGCTGTTAGCTGGTCAGACATGTTTCTGGAGGATTTCATCCAGAGGGGGAATCTTTACCAGGAACTGCAGGATTCTGGACCTGCTGGTCCAAACCTCTGATCTCTATTTATTCCCTGGATTGCTGATTGGCCGTTGGTAGAACAGGTTTAAAGTGAAGCCACCAGCAGCCATATTGGTACTCCCTAGTTAGGCCGGTCTCAATGTAAACAATCTGTGCGCTGCAGCATCGAACAACAATGATGTTCTCATTTTCAGAGGGACTGAAGACTTTTAAAATAAAGATAAATTCATCACTTTGACACAGACTGGCTGTTTCATAGCATCAGTAGATTACTTTGAATAGGCCCATTACATTGCAGAGTCATTGTGAAGTCTATAAATCATGTAATAAAACATATTATACAATCCATCACAATAAAATTAATGTGTTAATGGAGCAGAATAATACAGATGAGCCAAAAGTGCTAAACTGATGATGTAGATGTAATAAACATGGATTTATTACATTGTTATAGTAATTACATAGTACATGTCTGCTAATGCATGCAGAAAAAAAAAAAAAAAAAAAAAACGGTTTTTGCAACCAAAAGCCGCAAAAGGAAGCAATTTTAACGGGCCGCCCCCAGGGAAGGGGGAAGAACAAAAAGGGCGAACGGGGCCTCAACTTTTTTCTGGCAATCAGCAGTGAATAAATAGAGATCAGTGGATCCAAACGGGTCTGATACCAGAACCAGAACACAGAGGGATGCTGGTTCCTTCAGAGACAGGGCGATTATAGCGCCCCCGGTGGCAGAAAGGAACATAACGCTGCTTTAACTAGTTAGACCCCCAGACTCCAATGTCCAGGTTTTAAATCAACATCACTGAACATCTTCTTCTTAAATATCTAGAATCTAAATGCATAGATCTGTGATATTTTGAAATGGAAACCATTGGCGCTGCTGGGTTTTGTTCATAAATGTGGAAACCGGATTTAAAGGAACTGAAACTAGAGCCTGACACCTGTGAAGCTCACCTGCAGCCTTCATGGTGCGCCTCTGGATGTGTCTGCATGCAGGTAGCTGTATCCAGTGGGGAGGTAGGCTCGACCTGGGGAGGACAGAATGAAGTTCGCCCAACCCTGGGGACGCCAGAGGCTGGCTTTTCTCCTGGAGAACGCCGCCTCTAGGGAAGCCAAGATGTGGAGGGGCTACGTGCCGAAGAAGCCCACCCCCCAGGTGAGGATTCAGCACCATGTTTGTTTCTTACGTTCTACTGGATGCTAAATGATTTGAAAGGAAAGACAGTTCCCAGTGTGACGCTAACACTTTAAGCATCTGATGTCACTGATTTCACTTCATCTTCAGCTTTCAGGGGAAAACCTGAACATTCAAACAACCTGCTTCTCCTTTTAGCTCCTTTCTTAGTTATGAAAATAAAACTGGGTCCAAACTGCTCATCCAGTCAGTATTCACACAATGCAGGTTTATCTATAAGCAGGTCAAAGTTTCTGTTTGTTTTTAGACTGAAGGGGAAGCAGGACATGTTTGACTCGCTGCTGCTTTAAAGACGACAAGGATTTTCTTTTTGGTTTTTGGTTTTTATTCAGGGAATTCAGAAACTTGGGCTGGATGGTTTTAGAAAAGCTCCCTGATTGGTTGGCAGTCTGACTAGAAGTGACTTCCAGACACTTTCAGTAGAAACAGTTCAGAATAAATTGTTTTTTTGGGTCAAAAAAGTGGATTTAAATCTAATCTGACTCTGCTACCTCCTATAGGATCAGTTTATGGCTCAATCCCAAAACAGAAAGTAGTCCCCCCTCCTTCTCCCCCTTCACCTGTCGAGGGGTCAAAGGTAAAACCTGTATCAGAGGTAGTTAAGGAATCCCAGGCTGGATCCAGACGGCCTTCGTTACGTAACGGACGCACCCATGAAGGATGCGGCTCAGATTGGGACCACAGCCCTCCAGAAAAGAACCACAAAATAAAAAGGTTCCTCAAATGCAGCCAACGGCTGAAAATGTCAGTTATAAACCTCAAGCTTACGAAGGTAAAGACGTTAGCATGAGTCACACAGTCTGGAAGCCGTACGGCTAATGGCGGCCCCAAGGAAGGTCAGGAGGTCCGTATGCCAAAGCAACCAGGCTAGGTTCTATTGGCCGAAAACTGACTGATGCCAGATAATAAAAGCCAACATATTCTGCCGGCAGGTTTCTACATTCTTAGTTAATTTAGGCGTTAATAAACTGTTTCAGAGGAGTGATCATAGCGCTCTGCATCAGCAGTGCTGCGTCTGACTCCCTGCCAGCTCCCAGATCAGCTTCTCTCATTGGTTGATGCGGCGCGTCCAGCAGCTGCATCTGAAGCGCATCGCGCCTCAGATGCTCAGAAGCTCATGACGCTTCTTCTTTTGCTGCATCTTGATGCGCATCAACCATTGACAGCATATAAACTGGCTGCTTCTGCTCATTGCGGTCTGAACGTAGCATTAGTGATGTTAAGTTTCATCTGTGCTTTTATTGTGAAATACAGACAGACAGACCTTGACAGGAAATGACATGGGGTTGCCAGGGGTAACGGCAGGTCCAAAGCAGAGGGTCTGGGAGGATGAGGATTAACTAAATATTAAACAATCATTCCAGCCATAAATACGGTGTTTGCAAAACATCACGTCATTCCTGAATATAACTTATATCACTTTCTATCAGGAAAGGAGCGCAGCGCGAACGTCTGCTGGGATGGAGACGTCTAATAATTCTGTCTGTCTTAAAAACAAAATGATAGTTTAACCTGCAGAAATAAAGTAGCGCTGAAAATGAGCTTCATAGGGGTCAGTTGACCTCTCAGTGACTCAAAAATCATTTTTAATATCTCTGAAACAACAGCAGCACATGTGATCTTTTATTAATTTATTTAAATGTTTCCAAATAACCTTTTAAATTTCCCAGACCTGCAGTAATGAAGCTCTTAGCATTCAGTGTTTCTGCTGAGTTTCACCTCGGTGGCGTTTCAGCCTCACGCAGCTGAAGCTCCTCCCATTTGATGATGCGGTCCAGGATGTAAACACTGGATCTGAGGTGCAGAGCAGTGAGCTGCAGGAAACTGACTACAGCCTAAAGCATCACAGACAGCTTTAAAACGCATCAGATCTATGTAGAGATTTCTATGATCTGTTCTGCAGAAGGAGGCCTTCCATCATTGTTTCTCTCCAGTTAAACCAAACTCTCCTTCTGGTTTCCACCCTAAACTGAAACCCTGGACTGCGCTGAGTCAGTTTTCCCCCCCTGAGGTGTGACACGTTCCCAGACTGCCAGGTTGTGAAATGACGTTAGCTCAGAGGCTGTTGACCAACAGTGGAGCCGCCCGGCCATGACGAAACGGTTCTTCTCAGACGTGACGCATGTCAGGAAGCGGAGCGTCCGCCGGGGGCGTGTTCCATCCCAGTCAGCTGGTTTCGGCCTGCCGCGGCATGCTGGCGTCACCTGTGGCTCCAGACGGGGCCCTCAGGTCGGGGCCACGCCTTACATCCAACAGCTGGTCGGAGAATTGGCTCCAGTTCACAGGGAAACGGATCTGACCTCCTTTCTTATCATCCTGCTGCTTTTCTTTATGTCTGATGTCTTCTGCCCGACAGATAGAGATCTTTATCTGATTTATAAACTCTGGACTCAGTTTAGTTTAATTCTCTACAGGCGTCATTTAAAGACACTTTACATTCAACCATCAATTCATTTTGGAATGAATTTTCTTCCATTATTGTTGGAGAAAAACTCAGTTTTTAAACTTGTTTCAAACTAAACTAAAACATTTTTTTTCTGTAGTTTTTTATAATGTATTCTTTTTTTTTTATTTCTCTTTTTCAGATTTATTTTTACAAATTGCCTTCTTTTCAAGCTGCGTGTTTAAGCTAAGCTCTGGGGGCGGGCCTATCCTCTCAAAGAAGCATTTTTATTGGTCTGCTGGACGTTTGAAGTGATCCAGTTAGAAGAGAATGCGATTAAAAAAAAACTTCAACTGAAAAACACATTTTTTTTAAAAATAAAACCTGCAGCAATGCTGCCGTGCAGCAATAAGGTTCGGTTCCTTGCCCGGAGTCTTTCTGCAAGGAGGTTGCATGTTCTCCCTGTGCATTAGTGGGTTCAAAGGATCAAACCTCTTTTGGAGTCTCAACATATTATTCCTTATATTTGCTATTATTTAACATTTCATCGTCTATCTAAAGGAGCCGAAAGTAGAAAACAATCACTGTCAGTCTGGAAGGAAAGTCTTGCCTTTTAAGACAGACTGGGCTCTGCTATTTAACAAGGAGACACTAAAAGTCTCAGCTTATTTTTATTCTTTTTATTAATATCTGAGGACAGAGGAGGACAAATGGAACATCTTTAAAAATGACTTTCATAGAGATTTTAGACAAAAAGTTATTTTTCTTGTAGAAAACACAAAGTTAAAAGTATTGTAGCCTAATGTGGCTAACTGAGCGAGCTAAAAGAGGCTAACCTGTTAGCTACTAGCACAGCTAGCCACAGCGCTACCCAGCTCTTTATATCACGGTCTAACAGCTCCTTGTTCACCAGAAATAGATTTATTTTTTATTTTGTTGATCAGGTAAAACTTCATCGGTCGTTAGACACACTAACGCTACAGATGCTACAGACTCGGCACACTCTGCGTGATGTCATCGTTGTCTGGGCAACCACAATGTTCTACATCATGGGCAACGTTCAGCCAATCGTGTAGCGTAGCATCACTGGCAGGAAGCAGGACCCAGCAGATCTGGGAGCTACAGCGGCTTCCTCCCATCGTCCAAAAACATGATGGTTAGGTTAACTGGTTTCTCTAAATCCTCCTTAGGTGTGAGTGAATGGTTGTTTTTCTATGTGTTGCCCTGTGATGGACTGGAGACCTGTCCATGCTGGACCCCGCCTCTCTGTCCATGCTGGACCCCCCCTCTCACCTGGAGATAGACGCCAGCACCCCTCACCATCCCAGCAGGGATAAAGTGTGACGGAAAATGGATGGATAAAATCTGTTACAAAAATGAAAAAAAAAAAAACAAAACGCAAAGTTAAAGACGTTTTAAGAAGTTTTTCATATTTCCATTTCTAAAACATGCTCTTTGCCACATTAAAAGCTTTGCTCCAGTAATTAGGCCATCAGTAGGAACTGGCTGAAACCAGATCCGCCCACTATTGATGAATGGATTGAAATTGTTCACCAGATTTCTGTCATGGAGAGGATCTCTTTCTCCCTCCAAGTCAAAAAAGAAAATTTTATAAGATCTGCACCAAATGGACTGAATATATAAAACCAATTAGATCCGACTTCATTTGACTGTTCGTGTGTCTTACCTCCTCATGTCTTTGTGGTTTTCATTGTTCCACGTGGTTATTGTTCAATTCTGCTCATTTTTGTAAAGCTGTAATTACTGAATGTGATTGAAGCCTGAGGAAAAACAAAAAAAACTTTGCTCCATATAAATTGAGCCAGCTGTAGTCATGGCAACCCGGAGCTGCTGGGTTGGTTAAAAAGCAGCGTTCAGGTCTTTCCTCAGGACGACCCAGCAGCCCAGTCCTTCCTCATGTTTCTCCCTGGTTGTTGTCCAGGATACAGACGTCTCCCCGGCCCAGAGGGACCAGGCCGTCCGCTGGCTGACGGAGCTCCACAGCAGCCTGCAGCTCTACCCAGAGACCCTGGTGCTAGCTGTTAGCATTCTGGACCGCTTCCTCGCTCCCATCAAGGTACAAAAACACAACCTGGTTCTGATGAGGCCTGGATGTCTGCAGGGAGACAGAACTCCTGCTTTTCAACATACCGTATTTTCCCGACTATAGAGCGCATCTCTATATAAGCCGCACCCACTAAGTTTTAAAAAAAAACTAGAGAAGTACATATAAAAGCCGCATC